TACTACTAAATTCAAATCAAGTCATTTGCCCAAGTTTTAGAGGGGGGAAACGAATTGTTTTGGCCTTTTGTCCTTTCTCTGGATTGAGGTACGTGCTTTCTCTTCTACTACTCTGAATAGTTCAAATTAATACAATGATTAAGAATAATTGCCTATCTAGATGCGGAGGCCAATCTAAATACAGTAAAGTACTGCTCACATATTAATCCTTTCATCAGGTTGATTAAGCTTCTTGTTTAGGATCACGCTTCAACTCCTAATTAATATGATTATTTTTGCTCTCTCACCCCCAAGCTCGTGCCATAAGGGACGCTCCATACCTCAGCAGAGCTCACCTCAATGCATTTGTCTCATCTCGCCTTTCTTATAATGGTAGCGTTCAAATCAGCTATAATGGCTGTTCCTTCCACCAATACAAGTACCAAATAACGTTATCTAATCTTTTTATCTCTATGTTGAGATTTGGACACTAATCCCTAAAAAATTTAATCACTTTATCAGTTTATTGACCGCTAGGATAATTACTTGAAATAATGATCATCCTTTTAGCATTAAAAAGTACAATTTGATATCGTCTACATCCTCTAGATAATGCAAACAATAAGTTTTAGATCAAGTTCTCAGCACGTTCTATGACAGACTCCTGTAAAAACCACCAGAAAACCAGAGGAAAACCTGGGTTCACCTGTACTGGCAATCAGAAAGAACTCCAAAAATACCATATTATCATAACTAAACACTGGACCTAAAATTAGTCAACCTGTTTAACCTCAGTTATTTAGCCACTCAGAGAAATTAGTCCTATTCAGCCATCATATATAATCCATTGAATATGTGCAATGTAATATATAGCAAGGCTAGTATCGTCTGCTAATTTCAACATAAGCCCTTTCTTATGTATTGATTACAATTTGTCAAACATAGTGTTCTTATCTCATGATTTCAATAAGTTAACAGAATTATAAAGAAGTATAAAGTTGTGCACTCATTTTTTTCAAACTCTACATACCCTTGATATGTGTTCTTATAAACGACTTCAAAGACAGAAAATACCCAGAATCAAACAGAGTATGTACGAGATTCTTCTATGCTCTCAGTTTCAATGGAAACAGGTTTCAGCCACTGGGAAATATGAAGATGGAAAAATGGCTAGATGTTTTCTTAGTGTTTTTTGTGCTGTGTTTGCTTTCCTTTGAAAAAAAAAATCTTTTAAATCGAACGGTAGTTTTAAGCTTTTGGTATACCATGACAACCCAAAGTAACTACAAACAAGCATGCTTTTTTCTGAGCACAGTGAAAAACCCAATTCAGAGACGAAGAATTTACATAGAGTTGTGAGAAGTATACTTACAGATGCCGATGCTACAGATTCTTCCGACGATGAAGGCCGGAATACTGTACGAAGAGCGAATAGAAGCGGGGTCTGGGCTTGCTGGGTTTCGCACTGGTGGTTCGAGGAAGAAGACGAGGCGGGGTCTGGGGTATACGTATGTATTGTTGTTCGTATTGGTGGGTTGGGTCTCTGAGGAGTGTATTGAGGTGCTGGGCTGAAATATTGTATGGGAGAGGGAAGTTGGGCCGATCTGGTGTTGCTGGAAAGAGAATTGGGCTGCTCTTTAGTGTTCTTTAGGATTTGAAAGTTGTTAGATTGGGAAGCAAATGTGGCTAGGATTGCAATTGAAGAAATGACTAGATGAATTGTTAATTTAGCCGATTGAATTAAGAATTTAACCGAATTGAATTTCACTAGCAAATTCGGCTAAATCTTAAATAAGAAGGATTAATATGATTAACTAACGAGTTCTCTGACATGTAAACCTTGACTTGCCTAGATTGAGACTGAAAATGAATCACATTGTAGTAAAAGTAGAAGATAAAAATCATTTCAAACGTGGTTGGAAGTTAGTATATACTACTACTTACATCAATATATTGATCATTTGTTTTTGTACATATTTGCATTGACTCGAAGGACGACAAATAGAGGCGGACATAGTACATTGACCTTAAATTACTAAATTCAATATTTTATACACAAAACATAATTCTTGTGTAAAAACTAACGAAAATAGTAAGAAATACTAATAGATACTATTACTCATAAATTTAAAGATCTAACAAATTTAATGCCAATGTTAAAGTTTTAACAGGTTCAGTGCAAATTTGTATCACGTTTCTTGAAATTTCAAGAAGGGGAAGGTAACTGAGGATTTCTAGTTGATATTGCAGATTCAATAGAACTTGTGGTGAGAGTTATTGATGATTTGTTATGAATATGTACTGCTTCTAGGGTTCAAGATTCCAAGAAGAGCTTCAATAATTCCATGTTTCGATCATATTTCTTGAAATTTAAAGAACTGAGAGGATATACATACAACTTTTATAGGTTCTGTTTGCTTTTGTGATTATTTAGTTGCTTTGATGGAATTATATCTATTAGTAACCGTTTCTAAATTGTGCAGGAATCAAAGGGATCTTTGTTCAAACTTGGTTTAGGCATTAAAAATTCACCAACTACAAATGCAGTTATTATTGCATATCAACTCAAATGTCTTAAAAGAGTATTATAAACTTTAAATATTGGATTTGTCTCTGTTGTGCGTCTTTGCATTGACTCAGCAATGAGGTTCAACTGAATTTCTTAATTTGAAATTTCCCGAGATGAGATATGAGCTACAGAAAACATAAATCATTTTATTAATTATCACTTAGCTATAGACAAGATAAAATCATTAAACAACCAACTCTAAGCTGTAGAAGATTTAACAGGTGCTCCAGCCTCAGTTAGCAGAGGAACAAGATTCCCTTCCCTGTGCAAAGCAGTTGTGGCTGCAAATAGTAAATCTTAAGATTATTTTTATGTCAAGGAATTTAACCATAGTGAGGAAAAGGGGAAGGGACACACAGTCACAGCCACCAATGTGCTTCCCGCCGATGAAGACATTTGGTATTGTTCGCTGACCAGTCCACTCAGCCAGTGCTGCCTGAATCTCACTTCCATCCTCTACAACAACAAAGTCATTTAATTTTGTTTTGTATCAATAAAGTAGTGCGATTGTAATGAAGCAGATGCCTTACTTTCAGAATCTAACTCAATGGCCTTGAAGGAAGTACCGACATTAGACAACAAATCCTTGACACTAACGCAGAAGGGACAGTACGTCTTGCTGGGAATTCAATTGAGATCAAACAAAAACTAATTAATAGTAACACTAACACTTGGTTCACATTTGGCAATCAAACAGAAATTAATTACCTGAAGACCACAACTGGATTGGCAGTAATTATTTCCTTGGCTTTGGTAAGTACCATCTTCAATAGATTAGCTTAGACAGGGACACTTCTTATTTTTTGGTTAACAATGCCTTCAAAAAGCTCTAAATATACAAGTTGATTAGTCTGGACCAACTTGTGGCAGATTCTTGCATAGTTTAGAGGTTAATAGGACCCTAGTATAGTTTAGTGATATAAATAATATGAAATGTAACTGATCATTTCGTGGTACGATTCTCATGTTTTATCCCTATTGAAAATACAATTTTCTATAAATCAAAGTTGGTCACCTCGTTTCTTTCGGCGGCCTTTCATCATACATGCATTATCACTAACAACTTGTATATGCATAACATATATAAAGATTGATCTTTACTAACAATAATAGAAAATTCTTAATTATTTGCATGCAGTACAAAAGTATGTCTCAACTTATCATATCTTATCAGGAAACAAGGAGCGGAGCCACCATTATAATCAACAATTCTTGTACGAATTTTGAATTTGTAGCTCTAAAAAAATTTGAGATTGGTCATATTTTAAAAAACATGTTTACTTATAAATTGGGTCATAATTGGAACACGTAGTGCTTAGTGCTACTACAATCATCAAGGGAGCAGTACTTATTTAAAAAATTAAATTAAATAATATGCATAAATGATTTATTCAAAATTCAATAAAAAAATGATTATCCTTCCGGATTAATATTTAACTCACCTCTAACCATATGAAAACAAATTAGACAGGTACGTATATTGGTTTTCTTGCGTCATCCTATAATAGCACCAATGATGTGGGGCATTAATGGGTTTTATAATATTCAAAGTTGCAATTTGCATGCCTCTTTATATTCTTAGAACATAAATTTCAAGAATCACTTTAGCAATATTCTAAAGAGGCTAGTTGCAAACTTTGAATATTCTAGTTATATAGTATTTATCAGTAATCAGTAATCAGTAAAGAGACAAGGTGCAAGTACTGCCAGACTGTTGGAGTTACTAGGAATATTATCATTATATTGGATAAAAGGAATTAGAGAAGCTCAAATACAAAAATATTTCAAAGATAAACTTATCCCATCCACACGATATAGTTAGAATTCTTCCCCTTAGGTTTGTCCCATTTTTAACATTCCGTTTTGGTTGATTTCCTTGAAATTTTCCCTTTCAGCTATGGACCCAATAAAAGCTTTCATTTCTTACATTTGGTAGATAGAAAGAACGCCGAAGAGAACAAGATAATTGATTCTATTCATGTCGGAGGAGTTTTGAGAGTGAGCCAACACTCATGCAACAGTTCACTGTTGCAGACATCTCTTTATTAATGACGCTTTAGTTTGCAACAAACAAAAGTAACAGTAACAAAAACCTAATTGCAAGAGTGGAGCTTTAACAACTGAGCTATTTGCCAAGAGTCGAGAGGACGATATATTAAAGTAATCATATGATTCTTTCTATTCAAAAGAATTATTCCTTCTTGTTGAGCTTGACTGATTTTTGCAATAGCAACCTCAGTAACCAAGTGTGTTTCAGGAACACCAGCACAATGACAGTGCTGACAGATGACTCGAAAAATGGATTTTTATGAAGGATCCTAATTCAAACGAGACAATATACACAACCCATTGAGGAGCAGTACAAATGGAACACTCAGCCACCTGCTATCTCGTATCTGAACAACTACAAAAACTAGAGTAAAGAATGTCAACGGGAAGTGCATAGGGTTATCTTCACTGTGAAAAGGATGCTGCTCATGATCTTCTTCAGCTCATACATGTTCTCACTACATAATCCAGGATAACTTAAATAGGCACCGAGGCATGAAGCTTCTCTTGAAGTTTCTGTGCTACAGCATCAATAAATTCTTCAGTGTTCAAGTAGAATTCTCTTGACACCCTGCACAAGTATAATTACTCAAATACTGAGTTTCACTGAAATTGAGAGAGAAGCCACAGACTATTCATGTTAACGCTTCTTCATTTGGTTTATCTTACTAACTGAATCAAGTTTTAGTGTCAAAAACATTTTTCATAATAAATAATTTATCAGTAAGAAGGTGAAAACTTCTTAGTAGAATTGTTCAAGGTGGCTTAGGCTATAGAATTTATTGTTCACTTTTTTTAAAAAAAAATAACCGTGGTGTTAGGGACATCTTTCGCACCTCGAAATACATGGTATTTTGAGTAGCAAATACCAAAAGGAGGAGGGCTCTGTCCTTACCCAGGAGTAGGGTAAGGGTTTACAGTCAGTTAGAGGAGATATCAGAAATTCCAAGTGTGGAGTAAAGAAAAAGAGCTGGACTATATATGCCGTACAGATGACACTGAAGCAGGAAACCATCACTTACTTGGGTCCATGAGCTAATATAGCTAAGTCCTTAGTCATCTTCCCGGACTCTATTGTCCCAATGCAAGAAGCTTCAAGGGTGTGAACAAATTCCAACAACTTTTGATTCCCATCAAGCTGAGCCCTGCAGAAGAATAGTGTGTATTTTTTAGGCATTAAGAGACAGATCCATTGAAATCAGAAATTAAAAGCCACCTTTAGTTTTTCTGTCAAATTAGATAATGTCCACTTACCTAAAAGTAAAATAAATGGAAAAAGAATAGAACACCAGTATAGTGTTTGCTTTTGGAGTGCCCCAATAGTCTCACCATAACAAAAGTAGCCTTTTCCATTCCTCAACTTTCCTCAAAAACATCGGAAATACTTCTCAGCTCTTGCTCAAGGGAGAGTTCTTTCATTTATAGAGGAGCAAAAATGGAAAAGAGCAGGAATACATTTTAATTTCCTTTATAAGCGGAAAACCAGACCCACTATATGGGACACAGGGAGTAACACAATTTGTACAGAATCCATTTTTGCATCCACTACTCTTCCCTTTTTTTCCATTCTAATTATAGGGACAACATGATATCAAGCAGGCAATCAATTCATTATTCGACCTACTCTTAGTAATAGTCATATCACCAAGCCAGAAAAACTGATTCACGTGATGGCGCAAGCAAAAATAATTATAGTTTAGGTAGACAGGCAACCTCACCCAATCCCAAGAAATTAAGGAAAGAAGAGGAAAGCCTCTAGAGTGAGTGTGTAGAGAGAGAGAGCAGAAAGGGGAAGAGGGATCAAGTAGTGCATAATAGTGCAACATGTCCCAACTATGAAAAATAAGTGCACTAAGCTCCTGCTATGCAGGAGGATCTGGGGAAGGGACGGACCACAAGGGTCTCTTGTTTTTCTGCAAGAGGCTATATCCATTGCTCGAACGTGTGACCTCCTAGACACATGTCAGCAACTTTACCAGTTACCCAAGTAAGTAACAATGAACAAAAGTTTACCCCAATCAGTAAAAGTAACAAATGGGTTAGAGAATAGCAGCAACTCACCTATGTCCAAGTCCCCTTGTCCATGCAAAAATGGAAGCAACACTGTTTGTACTAGTTTCTTGACCCTTTTGATGCAGCCGAAAATGTCTTGTTACAGTGCCGTGAGCTGCTTCAGCTTCTAATGTCTTGCCATCAGAAGATAACTGCAGAGTAGATACATTATATTATACAGAGGACCAATGGGTGTGATATTCTATAAAGAAAGCTTAACGGGAAGATACCTACCAATACAGAAGTCATGAGGCCCAAAGAACCAAATCCTAAATAAACAAAGATAGACTAAGTTAGACTTTTAGAAGTTGATATAGTAACTGTATCATCACGCCAAATCAAAACCTTCAACTAAGACATGAATTTCAAAGGAACAGAATGAAGTAACAGAGTACAATCATGAGGATCACCTTGAGCGAGCAAATCACTCTGGACATCTCCATCATAGTTCTTGCATGCCCAAACATATCCACCCTCACTTTTTAATGCATAAGCTACCATGTCATCTATCAGTCTATGCTCATACCTATATGCCAGTGACAACTTTTGACCAATAATGCAACCATTTTCCAGAAATAAACTACAAAAACTGCTCATTAATCTCATAAAAAACCAACCATATCGAGTGTTCCTCAAACTGTTGCTTCCACTTCTCTTCGTATACCTCTTGAAAAATGTCCTTAAACCTGGCACAATCAAATTTGACAGTGAATAATTCAGCTAAACTCTTAAAAAAATATATTTTCTGGAGATTCAAAATAGAATCCCCTTTCAATTAGAAGAGAGGGAAATTTTCTGAGGGCTGGAAGGGAAATGATTTGATCAGCATAAATTGAAGGATACCTTCCATCGTATTTCTTTAAAATTGTGTTTTTTGTACTCAAGTAAAGAGGCCATTTCTTTGAAAATGCCATTGACATTGATGATTCAGCAAACGCTCGAATTGACTAGCAAATTTCACCACAGAAAAAGAATGAGTATACAAGAGAGAGGAAAAGGCTTGGAAGTGAAATAGCATAGTCATTCATCGAAGCATAGTGAAGAAGAACCTGGTCAACATTGTACATGGCAAGTGCAATACCCGGACCTTTAAAATCATAAACATCCAGCTCCATAGGGGATTCCCCATTTTCTGGCACTGAAAATAAAAATTAACAAACAAGTTTAGTATTGGCATGAGTATGCTTTGTATGTGTATGTTTTGCCTCATAAAATAAATACAGACTGAAATCAACTAGCTCACCAAAAACCATTTTGAGCTTTCCGGGCCCATTAATAATTGAATCTGTGGCACGATACTGATCACCAAAAGCATGCCTACCAATACAAATGGGTTTCTTCCAACCTGCAGATCTCAGAAGTTAAGTACTGACGAGACTGATGATATTGGATTTATACCACAAAGTAGATCAAGAAGATGTTACCAGGAACAATCCTGGGAATGTTCGTGCATAGTATAGGCTCCCGGAAAACAGTACCTGAAGACAGAAACTGTCATCATTCTAGCCATTAAGGATAATGAATTTAGAATGTAAGGCATCCACTTATTTATCTTCTTGCTTTTACAAGTAGAAAGCTCGAATTGGAACCAGCTACTTCTGAAATAACAAATAACAAAGGATCATACATTCTAGGTACGCATTCTTTTTTAGTATCGTATAATGACCTGTTCATTTAACCCATAGCACAAGTCCAACATATTGTCGAGCTGGCACTCCCAGAAACTATCGTACAAAAGCCTGCTAGAGTTACCTTAACGTACAATGAATCATTCAGTTTAAATTCCATGTAATGCCATGGGAAATGTATACTGTCACTCCGTGTACAATAATAGCATATGATATCTTATGATTTATCTACCACCTTTGATATTTCCTGAGATTAACATAAAAGCATCTGCAGATAAGGAAAGTATCCTTGCTGCACCAATAAGATGCTCGGTACGTGCCAGACACTATCATATTATGATGGATGCACATCATACACAAGAGTAGACCTTGTCATTGAGATACAAACAAATTGAGTTGCATGCACACCGTTTAAAATGTTTCTGATTGTGCCATTGGGACTTTTCCACATAGACTTCAGCCCAAATTCCTTGACTCTGGTCTCATCTGAAACATCAATAGTAGGAGAATTAGAAAGTGACATAGTGCAATTTGCCAACTTCCACGTAACTTCACTAGCGTTTGCCATAGATTTTGGGAGTAGATTTTGAAAATTGATCTTCAAATATCTGTTTGGCCATGAAATTTGATCAGATTTACGAAATCTGATCTTCAGATATTTTCAAGTTCCTAAAAAAAAGGTCTTTCGGGGTTTTGGGGAGTTGGGACTTCCACTAACAAAATTTCCAAGTAAAATGCATGTCCAAACACAACTACAAAAACTCAAATTTTCAAATTTCAACTTCAAAATCTATGGTCAAACGGGAGCTTCATGTACTCTGAAAAATCCAAACTCTCATAGCTGAAATATGAGAGAGCCATAAGTGATTTGGAAACTACCATTTAAATGAAACATTTGGACTAAAGCATGAACCTTTATTATTTAAATATCACACAGAAATTTCCTCCTTTAACCTTTCTCAAAAGCTTTTCTAAAACTGGAAAAGACAACTGACCAGGTGTTATAGTAGCGCATTTCACAGCAACATTGTACCTGCACAATAAAGGAGTATAAGCCAATTCAAATTTGGAACTAGAATATTTTGAGCAATTAACTGCTATTTGACTACAATTAGCTTTGATGTGAAATACAGAAGCATTTGCAACAACAACAAAAAGAACGGCAAAACATAACAACACAAAGATAGCTAACTTCTCAAACTAATACATTAATCTACTTCAACTGATTGTTTAAATAAACTATAAGTTGGCCTCAATTCTGAAGGAGAAAAAAACAGCATTTAATCACCTTAAGCAGTGATTTTCTCAGTGCGAGACATTTAGGTAAATGAACTTACTTCAGGGTTGCCTCAGCACTTTCAACAGTAACTTGGTCATCAGTGGCATCACGGTTCAATATACCTAAATCATAATACTTTGTATCCAACTCTAGATAAGGATATATTAGCTGCCACCACATAATGCAAAAATAAACAAAAGATTTAGAAGCGTAATAAGAAAAAATGTCAAAACAAAATTAAAAGATATATTCAGAAGCTGACAATAATTATACCTTGTCTTTGATCATTTTCCATATAACCCTCGTCATTTCATCACCTACAAAAAAAAAAGGTTAAAAGAGTGGATGAATAATTACAGATGTGCTTGCACTCATCTCAACTGCAGTAAATTACCGTCCATTTCGACGATGGGATTTTGAACGAGAATTTTACTAGTCGGACCAGAGGAGGAAGCGAAGCACCGAATTGAGGCATTAGGGATTCGCGTAGTGATAGATACTCTGCTATTGAAGAGCTGCCGATTGGAATTGACTTGAAAATAGAGTTTTTTACTAGCTATAGATGATGCTGAAGCCGATGAAGATGAGACAAAAGAAGCAACGCCGGCCATAGAGGAACACCGGAGTCTGAGTCGGACGGCGAGCATAACACTTTAGTTGGCTTAACAAAGTTGCCAATTTCTGCCGCTGTGAGAAAACTCAGTTGTGTTTGTCCGCCGTTCGCGATTTGGGCCTTGACGCCTTTTTTTCTTTTCTTTATTTATCTTTGCTTTGGACTCGTTTGGAACGTTCTACTATTAAAATCATTTTACTAAAATAATATATTTTTCTGAATTTTACCAAAATTAATATAAATGCATTTCTCAATAACTTTTAAGTCTATATTTTATGGAGTAAACAGGCAACAATAACGTTTTATAATTCGTTACTTTGACACATATTTTACAGCTATAACGGTAATATTGAAATACCTTGTTTGAACAAAATAATCATGCTCTTTCAATAGAGATTCTTCCTCATACTCAATATGCAATAGGAAATTTGGAGATTTTTTCTTGTAGCTTAGGTACAATCCATTCCAAATATTAAACTATCTGTTTTTTGAAATTCTTAAATATTAGCCCATCAATTTTCTTATGATTGCTAAATATTAGACTACTACCTAGAGAAGTTAATATTCCTCTTCACCCTACTTAAAGAAGTTATCGAATTAAAAGTGATATAGTAAATAAGCAAAGCAACTATAAAAAAAATGTCTATATCATAATCACAATAGAAGAGATAAAAGAATTAATTGACGTTGTAATAGTTTACAAGAAGCTATTTTTCCTTACTATTCTTGATCTTGCAATTGCATCAGAAGTTATTTTTCACTCAAACACTTAAGTTGTTAATAGTCCATGTAGCTTCAATTGTTAATTTTGATACTCTTGTTTGTGTTGTACTTGTCGTTAACTTTTATCTGATCAATTTTGCCATCATCACACATATATTTGCCTTCTATGTAATTTCAATTGTTAACTGTCCAAAATTCCTATTACAAATTGGATATGAGGACGAATCTCTATTGAAAGAGCATTACCATTTTATTCAAACAAGGTAATTTTAGTAAAACATCATTTTGAGTAACATTTTAATCGTAAAATGTGTCTTAGAATAATGAACTATAAAACGTTATTGATAGTAACATTTATGTTTGTTTACTCCGTCAGAACTTCATCCTTTTTTCATTAAAGATTTTTGAATAAAATATAGCCCGAAAAATACGTTTATACTAGTTTGTAAGAGAAAATAATTTAAATGGTATTATTTTGATGAATTAATTTTAATAATGACTTATTTTGATCAAAAATATTTTTTTCCTTGATTGGAGGGGTGATTGAAAAAAATGGTGTATTATTTTAAATTGAATATATTTTAATGTTTAGTAAATTATTTCGTATTTATTTTTATATTTAGTTGAGCTTTAATTTAAAATTATAAATTTCACTTGTTAACTATTGAGAAATAATATTCAAGTTTACCTTTTTGTTTTTAATTATAACTTTAAATTTCCTCGTATTCGAGTTACACCAAGAACAAAAAACAAAACTAGATGACTTAACTCTAATAACTAGACAATAATATGGTAAAATTATAATCAAGATATAAAAACAGATAAAATTACTAAATTTTTAGTGTAGAGACAAATTTGATTATTTTTGCTTAAAATGTAAACTCAATTTTGGATTTTATTGTTGGTTTTAATTTTTTGAAAAAATTAATAATGATATATCTTATATTCAACTTAAATAGTATGTTTTATAATCTACATAAGATATAAGTGGTTAGTTGTACACATATTAAATAGTTATATTTTAATGTATGTCTATTTGTTTGCTTTATATTTTATAGACGTTAAGTGGTTATTTGTGTATTACTCAAAACGGTAAGTTATAAATGTCAAATGAAATTAAGTTAAAATACACTTTTATCTATGATGAGTTATGACTTTTATTTTATTTAAATTGTAGTTGGAATTGCAATATTTATTTCTTGGGAAAATAGTCCGATATACCCCTCAACTTTGGCATTTAGAGCAATACACCTCTCATTATGAAAAAGACTCATATATACTCATATTGTTATACAAATGACTTGTATACCATTCTTCTCTAACGGAAGTGAAAAAATTAATTCAAATTTAATTTATTTTTTTAAAATAATCCATACAGTGTGGGTATATTTGATCCTCCTCACAATTATTTTTTTTTGACTTTTTTGTTTCAACAACTAATTAAAATTTATTATTTTGATGGTCAAATTTATTTATGTTTCACTAATTTTCTCGTAAAATTTATTATAGATGCCCCAATTTTTTTTAACAAATACAAAAATTAAATTACTTATAGCTGAAAAAATAGTTTTAAATTATAGTACAACCAAAAAAAAAAATAGTTTTAATTTATTTTCTTAGCACTAAGGTAGGAAAGGAAAGAAAAAGAATAAGAAAACTCAAATAATGATAATTAAAGATGTCAAAAAACAATTTATGTATGAAAAAAATAAAATATATCTTGAACATTGCTAGAAGGATCATATTAACTACATGATTTTTAAAAAAATTAAAACTCAAAAAGATAAATTTTAAATTATTTTTTCACTTTAGTTAAATAAAGGATATATATGAGCTCCTTTGAATAGTGGTATATGTGAGCCATTAACATAAAAGTAACTATTTGAGCTCTCGGAATATCAATTTGAATGACAAAATTGAGGGCATACCTTTTCCCTTATTTCTTTGCTAATTTTATGAAAATGCAACTTTTTGTCACAATTGGCCTAGACCCTCGCCCCCGGTTCGTAGAGTTGCCTAAAACCCCACTGCAACTACGAGAAAATCCTTAAACCCTACACAAGCCTTTTTCCTTTCGTTCAATTTCCACTTGTCCCTTTCAACTCTCTAATGGCCTCTGTAAGAAACAAAATAAACCCACTTCTCTGCAACTTACCGTACGTTCTCACATGGCGAAGATTTGGTTTTCGTACAATCTGCAGTGGTCGTCTTGGTTTTGCGCCGTCCACATCACCGTCAATGGCCGATACAGATACTCCTGTTGCTGGAACGAAAGTTCTCGAGACATTCGCTGAGGAATTTGAGATTGGATCACGCAAAATTACTTTAGAAACTGGAAAGATTGCGAGGTTTGCTAATGGCTCTGTAATTTTAGCCATGGAAGAGACGAAAGTCCTCTCTACTGTCGCTTCATCTAAAGGCGATGCAATTCGTGATTTTTTGCCCCTTACAGTATGTTCAGCACATTTCTGAATTCCTTTTTTTTTTAAATAAAAATTTGTTCTTCTTAATATTGCTCACTTGAAGGCAATGAAAATATGCAACATCATGTAAAAGTAAAAAGTAAAAAGACAGACTTTGAAGGATTTCTCTTTTCACAAATTCAATATGCATTGTTTTCTAGCTTTCATAGAATTGACTTCAATCTCTATAACATAGGGGGCAAGATATCTAGCATGTAGCAATTTGGCATTTTCATTTGAGAAAAGTTAAACAGCTGTCTTTATAGTACAGACATTTAGACTTGAAGAGTTTCTGTTGCTTTTATGTAATGTTGGAGATTGCATACTAGAATTCGGAAGCTACAGAAGGCATATATGTGTATACGAGGCCATGTTTTTTCCTTTTGTTTCATGCCTTTTGCACCGTCTCTATTTTCCTTGTTGTTAGTTTTTTTTTTTCAATATCTGGTCGTGGTCGTAAGTTAGCTTTTTTTCATTATCTAGTCGTGGGCGTAAGTGCTAATAGTGTTTGCTTCTCTTAGGTTGATTACCAAGAGAAACAATTTGCTCAAAGTGTTATTCCGACAACATACATGAGAAGAGAGGGTGCTCCAAAAGAACGTGAACTTTTATGTGGTCGTCTTATTGATCGACCCATAAGACCACTTTTTCCACCTGGATTTTACCACGAGGTGCAGGTAAGTTGGTGTCTTGTTATTGCAATTAACTTGATAGTAATAGTTTGTTTGGCGGCTATAAGCTTCGCTGACTCGCATTCTCCCCAGGTAATGGCAAGTGTGCTTTCGTCTGACGGGAAACAAGATCCAGATATATTGGCAGCTAATGCATCATCTGCTGCTCTAATGTTGTCAGATATTCCTTGGGGTGGGCCAATTGGAGTAATACGTATTGGAAGGGTTTCAGGTCAATTTGTTGTAAATCCAAGCATGGAGGAGGTAATATCTTATATCAGCTGGCATCCTCAGGATAAATTTGTAACATTAATACTTTCCAATTTCAGCAAGTTGACTTTCATTCTGGTGGCACTACCCTGGCATCTTGAGAACTTAGGCCATATCCTTGGGTGCTGTACTTGTTTACACTCTAACAGAAGATGGTTGAATTAAGTTTAAGAAATGGAGCTTTGGGTCTCCTGCAGAAGTTGTAGTTTCTCGATTATGTAGCCACTGCTGGGTGTCAATAGTGGATAACTAGCTTACATTTCCAAGAATTTGCATACTAGGCAAACTATTTCTCTTCCATAGTATTAGGAAGAACTACATAGTAAGAGAATATAACAAAAAGCTACTCGGCAACTCCAACTGCCAATGTGCCTTATGCTAGTTGTTGTCACTGATGCCAATTATGTTCACCAGTAATTGCAGTCCTGTCCCTTGATTAAAGTCTTCTTATTGGATGTCATGCAGCTTAGCATCAGTGATCTTAACTTGGTATATGCATGTACGAGGGATAAAACTTTGATGATAGACGTCCAAGCTCGTGAAATTTCTGAAAAGGATTTGGAAGCTGCTTTGAGACTTGCTCATCCAGAGGTGAGACATTGCTGGCTATCAATTTGTCACTGCTGCTCCATTACTCCAAACCAGTAATTTTTATTTTTTGAATATTCAGGCTGTTAAGTATCTTGACCCTCAAATTAGACTCGCAGCTAAAGCTGGTAAGCAGAAGAAAGAGTATAAGCTGTCTATGGTATCAGAAAAAACATTTGAAAAGATTCAGAATCTGGCCAAAGAACCTATAGAGGCTGTTTTTACAGACCCTACTTATGGAAAGGTATGTATTTTCTTACTGCAAGATGAATGTAGGGACTTCACTGTTTTTCACTATTCATGTTATATAGTCTATTGATAAAGGCAGCAGGTACCTTCTTTTC